ATTAGATTTTTGTAAATCGTTTAAGTATGTTATCATGTTGCTCATCACTGATGTATATGATTTTGTTTTGAGTATGTTGAATATGATATTTAATTACTGTTTTGCATTATTGTGACTGGTTATAGATCCTGGTATGAGTTTAAACATGTTTTCGTGATCGACCTGATGTTTACTTTCTGTCGCTTCCATGGAGGTTTTGTGGAGGGCAGGAAGAGGAAGATTGCCCCTTATTCCTGTGACTTTCTCTAATGCTTTATATGCTGGTTTGACTTTTGGCCTTCTCCTGTGGGTCGACGATTTTATTGGGGCTATGATGTGGCTAGGCTCGCTCCTTCCGCGTCATAGCTAGTGGGCAACCTGTGGTGATTTGTTAGCCATGATTGGAATGGTCCTTGCGTGGCTTCGGGGAGTGCTGGGAGTCCAAGCCTTCTATTGAGCCCTCGTTTGGAGTTCTCTATGTACTTTCTATTGTTTCTTTCTGGTTTTGTTTGGCTTTTACTCTTTATCTTATGTAAGCCCTTTTTAGTTCTATATAAGCTATTTTTGTTAATAAAAAATAATAAACCCACTATCATAAAATTATGTAAAATATATTTGAAGTTTTAAATTGAATTGAAGTACTATTTTTAGATTCAAATAAAATTTTTGTCAGACAAAAATCACACCGCTTTTCAAAAACATCATGCAAAAATGTTTAAGAATAATACTCCAATTGTCGTCGTATAAAGGACTGCTGAATTTTCATCCAATATCAATATTTATACCTAAACTGAAAAGGCAGAAGAACGAACTGGCAGGCCATAATATAGTGTATTAATATATTTATACGTTTCTCTTAGGCCTTTGTCTTGCTTCTTATGATCTAAGTTTGGCATACTGGAGGGAGTATTCTTTCTCGCTCGATCCTCATCGAGCACAGAAATTTCTTGATTTGTAATTTTTCATACACTCTGTTATAAATATTCTCAAAATGCAGCCAAAAAAGAACTCCGCTTGGCCATAATATTAAAGCAGAAAAATAAATAAAATATCATTATTATATTTTTTGATAAAACTAAAACGACAGGCATGTGCGGGAATCCGCGCCGTGCTGGTTCAATCTCTTATTCTAAGAATAAATTACGACTAAAAAATAAAGAAAAAAAACAAACAAGAGTTAAATTTCTTATAATTAAAAAAAATTCTTCAGCCATAAAGGCCATAAGTGCAGTCGAATCATCAAGTTACTTAGGTCTAAATATTAATAAATTAGCCACTATAGAACTGGCCCATAATTAGGAAGTAGCAAATTGGCAGCAATAACTTCGTGTTTTGTCCGAGCTGCTAACGCTTCAGGCCGTGGGTCCAAATGAAAACAATTGATAATCCAAAAGTTTTTTTTTTTTTTTTTTTTGAGAAACTAAAGTACGCCATATTTTCACTTTTTCCAGGTTATAACTTTTTAGTTCAAAGATTTTTGTAAAGTACAGCCTAAAATTATTCAGCTTATAACATTAATTCTAGTATATTCCATAGATTAATTAACGAAAACAAATCTTAGATTAATAACTATGACTTCCCCCCCAAACAAATATTTTTAATTGCATCTAAAGTTGTTTGGGACAATCTTTTTTTTAGCGTTATTTTTTTCAAATTATTAATCACAATTGTATTTGATTGTGCTTCTCACAACTTTCTAAAAATGTTTAATATACAAAAATATTTAAAAATACATGTTTATTTTTTTAGCAACGATTGAAGATGCAATATAAAGTGAATTGTTTCTGATGAAGTATAAATTTAAAATACATGTGAATTGTTTTTTTTTTCGTGATTTTGGCTAAGAAATAATGAATGCAAAGTAAAGTTAAAAGATGGACAGTCTTTTGTTTTGTCATAGTTTCTTTTGCTGATATTTTTTGTTATAATGGGTTCTTCTTATTTAGATATTGGTTTATTTGTTATTTTTGTTGGGATATTTGGTATTTGTCTGATCTTGATCGGGCACGAATCTCGAGGCAAAACCTAGTTGGAAACTTCAAAAATTAATTTCGGGAGCATATGAACTCCGATTTCAGCGAGCTTACAGTCAAACTGAGCGTCTCGGAAATACAAACCCAACGACACCAAGATCAACCCAATCCGAGCCCAAATGAGTCCGAATCAAAGGTTCGAAGCGCTGTTGGGAGGTTCAAACCGCAATTTGAGTTACCAAACGGTCTCCGATTTTGACGAGCTTATACTTGAATCGAACGGCTCGACGAGACGAATCCAACGAGCCCAAGATCATCAAATTCTGAAATCATTAAGGCCTTCAAATGTCCAACGAACGGTGCATGATCAAAGGATTCGATATCAGCCGTCCATTCAAACCACTCCCTGTTCGCCCTTGATCTCACGCCTATTTACGGGCTATGCCACTCCAGAAAAACTATAAATAGAGCCCTCATTCTACACCAAGGGGAGGGAAGTGAAGAGAGAGAGGAAGAAGAGAAGGAGAAGGAGAAAGGGGAATAGGAGATTCCTCACCTCCTCGACCACCGCCGCCGGAGTTCTTCCTGCCGCTTGAAGACGCCGGAACTCTGCCGGATTTTCAGGAAACTCAGGGAATTCGCAGGGTTTTGTGAATTTCGTGGAAAAGACAAGTTGTATTTGGATTATCCCGACTTGTGGGAAGAAATCCGCCATTTGTAATCTACGAAGACACTAGTGGAAATTTGCAACTGGGCGAGGCCCCGTGGTTTTTCCCATTTTTGGGTTTTCCACGTAAAAACTCTTGGTGTTCATTCCTTTTTCCTGTTTGTGTGTTAAACTTACGTACAACGCTCAGACGCGAATTTACAAACTCTACCGCCGCGTATTTTCTAACACGCAACAGTTTGGCGCCGTCTGTGGGAAAGTGGTTCCCGACTGGGGGGCAACTTTTGCTCCAATGCATAAATTAGAAGGACACTGGAATTTAACATGGAAAAATTCAAAATAAGAAAAAATCACATAGCCACACCAACCAAGAATCAACTATGAAAATTGGGAGAAATATGTATAGATCTCTCTTCTCTCTTCTCTCTCTTTCTCTTCTCTATAAAAAAAAAATAAAAAAATTCCCCATATAAAAATGAGAAATTATTGTATGCGAAATTCGAATGCATTCATAGACGAATTCGGATGCGCCACGTCACCGGATGCACTAGGCCCCGGTGACGTGGCATGCCTGGATTCACCTCCGAACACATTCGGATTCCGAACACAATAATTTCTCTATAAAAACAGGGTGAATAAGAATTGGATGTGTTAGAGAGAGAAGCTCTGGGTTTTGGCGCGCTTTGGTGATTTTTCCCTTCGGCCGTCTGGCCGAGATGGCTGCTTCTCCACTCGACTTTCCCCCCTTGCGGGATCTTCTTCCTTGCTAGGGGCTGCTCCTCCCCCTCCTCCTGCTAAGTCTTATGCTAACAACCTCTCAGCTCCTCCTTCGTCTCGGGAGGATTAGCCAATGTCATTTGTCAACCCTACCAAAAAGCTTTCTTTTGCGACTACCGAGCTTACTGAAGGCAAGGGGTTGTGGGAACTTTCTCTGGTGGGATATTCACTAGGTCAAAGGCCTTATTACGAAAGGCTTCTGGCGGCCATAAACAAAGCTTGGAAACTAAAAGGCTCTTTCTCGCTTCTCTCTCTTGCTAACAACTTCTTCCTGCTGAAGTTCACTTCTATCGAAGACTATGATATGATCTAGTCGAGAGGCCCCTAGTTCCTGCTTGGTAAACTGT